GTGGAGGCAACGACTGGCTTTGTTCCCAAAAACAAAGGGAACAAAGGCACTTGGGAGACGGAGATTTCCCGGACTCCGGAGGAGTACCCAATTTCGCTCTCCCGAGATAAAGGGAGAGCCTTTGGGACTCTACTCCTATCCAGGAGTACTCACCTCGACCCCTTCTCCCGGGGCACAAGGTTCCAAGCCGCTGAACAGCCGCTGACCGCTGTTCATGCTGGCTCTGACGCCTTCCCAAGCGGACGGCTCCGAAAAGAGCCGCCATCGGCGCGCCGTCCCACCGGAAGTTCCCGCCCATTTATATTTCTTAAACAACTTCCAGTTCCTTTCTCCCTCCATTTCTCTTTTCATTCCCTGTCTGCCAAGTTGTGACATTTCCCCTAACAGCTCTATATTCCATTTTTTAAAATCATCTTCCTTGCCATCAGATGTATTTTGCAGACCTAAGGGGTAAAAGGTCTTTTGCATTTTCATTGTTATAGCTAAGTCTTGCAGTATTTTGTTTGTATATAGTCATTTATATTTCCCTTCTTTTATCTCTTTCATCTCTAAATCCATTTCCTCTGTTTCGTCTTCTGATTTCTGGATTATTTGTTCATACTTTGTAGTCGTTATCTGGGAACTTTCTAGTTGTAGATTTAATTTGGAGATTTGCTCATTTATATTGTTTAAATTGTTTTTAGTCTCATGATTTCTTTTTATGTCCTCTTTGAATTCAACAATTGTTTGGTGAATTAGTTGTAGCATAGAATATATTTCTTTCTGAAAGGTGTTTGTTTTTTTCTTGAGGCATCATTCCTGGAGATCCTCTAGTATCACCAGTCTCAGTAAGAGTAGATCAAGGTTTCCTCTAGTTTTCTGGTCTTTATATGTATCCTTTATAATCCAATAGATTCCAAAGTATAGGTTCAGTCCTGAAAGCAATACTTTATAGTAATCCTTTGTCTCAAGTATCCAAAACTTGTCAATCAGGCAAGGTTGTAATCCACAATGTTCGTAGTGTTCAAAATGTTCAACCTCTCTGAAAACAGCTCAAAAGTCTCTCCCAGCCAGGCGTGGGCCAAGGTCAAATTTTTCTTTCTCTCCCACTAGCTCTTGAAGTTAAAAGTCCAAGATCAGTAGGTATTTATAATCCAAGAAGGTCAGGGTGATAAGTGTGCCAAAATATTTTCCTTTATTGGCAGCTGTTCTCCCAAGCTAGGAATCACCAAGCAGCCAGGAAGCAAATTATAGTGCTATACACAAATCCACCACTAGATGTCATTCAAAGTCCATTTTCCACTCTTAAAACAAAGGATTGATTTCTTATATTTCGCCTCAATGGTTTTTTTTTTCAAAGAGAAAATCTTGACAGTTATCTCAGTTCTCAAATTTATCAAAACTGTAGCTTTATATTACTTCCACTTCACTATTGTATGTTTCTGTTCCCCATAAAATTAAAACGCCACTTCTGTTTACATTCGGAGGTTTTTAGCTTCTTGGGAGATTTTCCCAGGAAATTCAGTTGTAAAATAGTAAAGAAAGGATCAATATTCTCACCCAGTTCCAAACATGCTGTTTACGATGTATTAATTAGTGCTTTTTTCTCCTTCGGTTTTCAGCAGCTAATGTCCGGCCACAGGAATGTAGCCGGTCTTTCCCCTGCCGGTTTAGAGGGCTTTTCTTGGATCGAACGGAAAGACCGCTGTCTCTCCGTGATCAACAAGGCACCCCCCCCTCTTCATTGCCTCTTCGGGGTGACTTTAGGCCAGGGGTGTCCAAACTTTTTTCAAAGAGGGCCAGATTGGATGAAGTGAACGTGCTGGAGGGCCGAACATTTTTCCGAACATTCTTTGAACCATTACAATTAAATGCAAATGAATTATTTTATGCCTCTTTCCTCTCCCTCTCTTTCCTCTTTTTCTCTCTCTCTCTTTCTCTTTCCTCTCCCCCTCTTTCTCTTTCCTC